AGCCAGGGCAGCCATGCTGTGAGCACCGGGGTCACTGTAATCTCCGCCTGACCAGTTCTGTTCCTGCTAGAGGTTTATGGAGCCCCTGCCACAGGCAGGCTTCCTGGCAGGCCTGGGGATACAGAAAGAGCTTGGCCTGGGAGCAGAGTGAGCAGGAGAAGTGGATAATTACAGAGTCAGTGCAGGAGGCACTGAGTCAAGTGCAATGACTCTGGGACCAGTGTGACCTTATTGTGAAACCTGGCCTGGCCCCTTGTTAGCCTGTGATTTGGAGGAAGCTGCTCAACCTCCTCACTGGGTGATGGCAGTATTGACCTTATCAGATGATTATGCCAATGAGCGATGGAAAGATGTAACCCAGGGATGGTCAATCAACGGTGTTACCAGTGTCTGTACTCAACACCATGAGACAAAGTGGAACACGTGGGGTGGGAGGCAAGAGGCAGCATTCAAGAAAGCAATGAGAAGAACTTTCCTGGTGGTCCAGTGGCTGAGAATCCGCCTTGCAATGCAGGGGACGCAGGTTCGATCCCTGGGTGGGGAACTGAGATCCCCTATGTTGCAACTAAGAGCTCGCAAGCCTCAGTGAAAAGATCCCAATAGGGGCAACACAGATCCTGCATGCTGCAACCTAGACCCAGCGCAAATATACAAATAAATAAAAAAATAAACGTTTAAAAGAAAAGAAAGCAAGAAGGGATGAAGAAGCTGCAGTGGATGGGAAAATGGGAAAGACAGAGACCTCAGGCTCTTGGGGTGGGGGGCAGAGCACAGCAGCAGAGGGGACCCCGAGAGTCAAGGCAGGAGCATGTGGAGCTGGGGAGCTGAAGGAGATGAGGAGGAAAGGCAGCCCAGAGCCCGCCTTGATTCTGAAGGCCAGCGCGCCTCAGGGGGCGAGCTTTCAGGAAGGCGGGAGACAGTGTTTCCTGGTCATGACACTAAGCAGCACTGAATCACAAGATGAGAAAAGGCATTCCCACTTTCAATTCTCTTTCACACCTTGACTCCATCCAGGGCAAGGTCTCAGCTCACAAGCCATCCTCACAGGCCTCAAAGTAACTGCTCTCCACAGGCAACTGTAACCACCAAGAATTCTGTAACACTGTTACACTTTTGTCCTTAAGATTACCTTCTACTTGGAGCAAGTGGCTTCTGCTAACAGGAGTGATACACATTTTCCCGTGGAAAAATACATCTAAAAGCAAGCCATTTACAGGAAAACTCTAAATAAAGGAGGGTACCAAGGTGAGATGCCAAAAGGGCAAAAACCACTCAGGTTGTATGTCAATGGCCGACCTTCAGGAAATGGGGCTGAGGGCACTGGGGAGCGGCCCATGTTCTGGCCTGGGGGGTCGGGGGGGCGGGGGGGAGTCTAACGTGGACCTTGGAGAGACGACCGTGACCGAAGGGAGAGTGGCCGGTGGAGCACTGGGCCAGTCGGGGTGGACAATGAGCTGTGTCTTCCCTGGGGCAGTGGGCTTCAGAAGGACCCCACAGGAGACATCCTGGAGACAGACAGGATGTGGTTTGTGACCTGCCATGTGGCTTGTCTCTGTTGTGTGAGCTGTAACCATGGCAAGGGGAGTGTCTGTCACCCGATTTCGGGTGTTTCCATGACCTCCCATCACACCTGGGGCTTTCAGGAGCAATGCTGCCACCTCCTACCTCTTCTCCACCTGCCCAGAGCCTGCGGGTGGTCCAGATGCCGGCCTCCCCGGCTGTCAACTCAGGGGCTCAGCCCAGGCTGGCCCATCAGCCCCGTCGGCCTGAGCCTCTGGGGTTTCCCCAGATTTCCACCACTAAAACAGGGACCGTCCTGGGCAAACTGTGAGGTGCTGGCCACCCCATCCCAGATGGTCCTTAAAGGGTGGGAGCCCTCGAGCCAGATCCGGTGGGGCTGGAATTGCTGTCTATGGGGCCAAAGCGAGAAGGTCACACTGTCTGCATGGATGCAGGGCCCCAGTGACCAGCTCATGTTTATATAAACAACATCACCCGCCTCAGAGTCAGCCCCCAACCTTCTCGAAAAGGCTCAGTGACGGCGCGGGCCAAGACCTGGTGGGCTCTCCATGGCTCTGGGCACTGCTGCCGCCACCACCTTCTCCATGACCACTGCTAAAGAGACATCCAGTGGGAATCTGCTGGATGACTCAGGGAACTCAAACTGCACTCTGTAATAACCTAGAGGAGTGAGAATGGGTGGGAGGGAGACGCAAGAAGCGGGGGGACATAGGTACACCTGTGGTTAACTCATGTTGATGCATGACAGAAATCAAACCCATGTTGCAAGGCAATCATCAATCGATTAAAAATAAATAAACATTTTTTGAAAAGGCACAGTGACTTTGGTCCTTTTTAAGAAAATGTGTTTCACCTTGAGAAAAAGCCGCCAGCTCAAGTTCAGAATTCAAAGGCCCCAAAGATGGCACCTTCCAGGCTGGGCAACTGTTCTCAAAGGGATGTTTCCAACCCTGACACTCAGGAGTCCACAAGACTGTCTCCACCCCATGCTCCAAATTCTCCGAAGCACCCGTGTCCAGCCAACACTGCCTGCTCAGCATCCATACCGGCCCCTTTGTGCCACTGTCCTCTTCTCAGGGCCCACTGACACGGGGGGCTCCCCTCACACACCTTCCTATGTTTGAAGTCCACTCACACTGCAGGGTTTGGCTCATGGAAGCCTCTCCAGGAAGCCTCCCTGAAACCTCTCAGCACAAGACACTCCTGGTTCCTTCTATCCTCTTCCAAAGCCTATCTCACCTGTGGCGGCCAGACAGGGCTTCCCCCAGGGACTGAGCAAGCCTGGAGATCCCCAAAAGGAGGGTTCACATCAGATTCATAACCCCCACCCCCACCTCCATGCCTCCTCTCCCAGCAGTCGGGAGTCAGCATACAGAATTGACACATGAATGGCCAAACCGATGACATCTAACTGGGAGACATTCCAACCATTTTTCCACCGGCTACTGAGGGAAGCAAGGAGGGCCTCACAGAGGCTGGTGCATTCAGCCCCCACGTGCAGACAAAGTAAACAACCCACTCATCACCCAGGAAAGACTGCTGGGCCTGCCTGACGATTCTGAAACAACCCAGGGCCAGAAGCTCTGGGAAGGCACCACAAAGGTATGGCCCCACTGGGATCACGCAGGCTTCCCAGACACTTGAACTGAGACCCGTGCATATGCCCGTGGAAGACTGGGATGTGTCTTGGCCACCATCCCAGAGGAGAAAACAGAGGATTTGGGAATCGAGGCTCCGGGGCCGTGGGACCCCCTGCCTCAGTTTATGCAGCAGCCCAGCCAGCCTCATAGCTGCGAGGATCTGTAGGAATAAAGGATGGGACGCACTCAGCACAGTCAGGCTCTCCCCGAACCTGGGGATTATTCTGGTCAGTACAACCCAAACAGCTCACAGGGAGGCCAGAGGATGCCAGGCAGCCAGACCTCCGAGGCCCAGGCTGAGTTGGACATTATCCGGCCTCATTAGCCCCGACCTGGAGGGAGGAGAAACGGGGCTGCCTGCAACCAGCTGCCGGGTCAGACCTGGGACACTGGAATGGTGGACACCGGGAGGCCGAGTGGCAAGCGGCCCAGGGGTGCGAGAAGGAAGGAAGGAAGCTGGATGCAGGCCGAGGAAGAAGGCAACCGAGGGTGTGGCTGAGGACAGGCCAGGGCAGCGGGAGGAGACAAAGAACAGACAGGCGTGGGCGAGCATGCCCTCGCCCCCTGCCTCCCGAGCTGCTCCAGAGCATCAGTGGACAGATGCTGCAGGGCTCTGCCCCTCGCGGGCTACCAGGGCTCTTCAGAGGCAGCTGGGTGTTTATTCAAAAGTCTGTCTGAGAGTCAACCTGTTAGGGGAAGGAGCCAACCACAACCGGAAACCCCCGAGGTGTGCAACCATCCACGTCACTGCTCAGCAGGAAGAAGCCAGGGTGGAGCAGGCTGAGATTAAGGCCCTGGCGCCGGCGGTGCCCAGCCATCTGGGGGAGCAACCTGTGCAGCACCTCCGGGAGGCCAAGGGCCACCTGGGTGCTGGCAGCACAGGTCCTCTGTGGCCATGCTGGCCTTCCTGCCACCCCTCAAACACAGCAGTCTGCTCACCGCTCCCAGCTTTTGCTTGTACTGTGTCCAGGCCACATGTGACTGGCTCACCTCAAGTGCCACCTCCTCCTGAGGGCCGGCCTGACCACCTCATCTAGACCAGCCCACCCCCCACGCCAGCGAGCTCTCCTCAGACAGCGGTGGCGGCTCAGCCCCTCATCTCTGCGGGTCTTTGTGTCTTTGCTTGGAGATCAGCTCCTTCACAAGGCCTTCCACCCCCCTATTTACAACTGTACATCCTCCCCCAGCTCTCACCCTGCCTCCCGGAGCTTCCTTCTCTGTGTCACAGCCTAGATGTTTGTTAACTGTCTTTCTCCTCCCACTGGAATGTCAACTCCAAGAAGACAGGGATTATCATCGGATTTGTTTGCTACTGTATCTAGAAAAGGTGCCTGGCACGTAGTAGGGGCTCAGTAAATGTTTGAGGAGTGAATGAATAAGTGTGTATGAATTTTTAAGAGCAGGGTCTCTGGTTAGAGTGCCTAGGGTCCTATTTGGGCTCTTCCACTTACTCTGTGACTTGTGACCATTTACTTAACTTCCGAGACACCCAAGGTAATTAATCAGCAAAAGGAGAATAACAACAGTACCTGTCTCATGGGATTACCAAGGGATTAAACATGATCATGCATATACAGAGGTGAACACAGAGCCCGGCCTCCTGTAAGTACTCAGGACTGTCCGGCTGCTAACACCAGCCCTCCCGTGCAGGTATTTCTTGCTTATCTGCTCACTTGCTTATCCTCTGCTTCTTGCACTCTGAGCATCAGCTCCAGCTGGCCCTGCTCACCCCCAGGCCCCCAGAGCCTAGCACACTGTGAGAAGAGAAAATCAGGCCTCCCCTCACATCAAGGAAGGTGCAGTTTGTAGACACAGCCGCAGCTGGAACAGGAGCCTCACCGATCTGTTTCTCCAGGGCGGCTGCCTCACAGACGGTGGCTCGGGGCAGGATTCCGGGGTCGGTGAAACTTGTCTGCAGCAGGCAGCTCATGACGAAGAAAAACAGGATGGCAGCAATGATGGGGATGGCGAGGGTCAGGTGGCGGGCCAAAAAAGGACAGCTGGAAAAAGAGAGGGAAAGAGACATGAGCAGACACCCCGGGGGCTGCCTGGGGCACAGGGTTGCATCGCCAAGCAGGCGTTGTCATCCCAGTAGCCACCACCATGGTCCTGAATGGATGCAGAGGTAGGCCCCTGGGTGAGTGTAGCCACACACCCTTACGTCCTTACGCTCTGCCCTTCCATGCCTAGAGCAGACACCACTAATTGATCCCTGCCCTTTCTCCCTGAGTGCCTGGCAGACGTGACCAATAGGTCCTGGCACTCAACCTCTGCACTTGGCTGCAACCTCTGAATCCTTCTACACACAGAGCTTCAGGCAGCCACCACCAATGAACTGGACTGTCACTTGAGATGACTCATCCATGACAACGTTCACTCATTTTTTCGGTCACTCCACATGTGTTTACCGAGGTCTGTTCAGGCTTCCCTGGTGGCTCAGGTGCTTATCCACCTGCAGTGCAGGAGACCGGGGCTCAATCCCTGGGCTGGGAAGATCCCCTGGAGAAGGAAATGGCAACCCACTCCAGTATTCTTGCCTGGGAAATCCCACGGACAGAGGAGCCTGGTGGGCTACAGTCCATGGGGTCGCAAAAAGTCAGACACGACTGAGTAACTAACACAATTCCAGTCTTAAAGGCAATACCTTTAACAAGCAGCAGGGATTATGGCTGCTTGTGAGAAAGACAAGAGTTCCCCTGCTCCTTCAATGAGGCTCAGTCTAGTGGGGAAAACAGACATGTAAACAAAGAATTGCCACACAGGGTTTGCATGTTATAATGGGGAAGGGGGAAGTAGCAGAACAGTTAGGAAAGACTGGCTGGAGGAGAGAAAGCCTGAGCTAGGACCTGAATGAGTCGGGTCCGCAGGTAAAGGGGGGCTGAGGGAAGAGCCTGGTCCAGCCACTGCACTGTCACCCAAAGACTGGCATCCTGGCTCGGTTCTATCAGGCCCCTTGACCCTGGTGAGCCCCAACAGCCCGCGCATGGGTCTAATGCTAAGGCCCACCCATACTATTAACCACCGTCCTACGTGGCCTTCTGTCCCAAAGCCAGAGTGGCCCCTGGTGGGCTGAGAAGCTACTATCTGGGGATGACTGACCGCTGGGAGGCCTGAGTCAGCCCAGGTTCCAGGAGCCGGCAAAGCAGCAGGAACAAACCTGTGGGTTACCTACACTGACTCTGGAGCCTCCCCTGATGGAGGTTCTGGTCTCCAGAGAGGCCCTTCCCTTCAGGAGCAGAGACCCAAAACCAAGGGCTCCCAGGGGGCCACGTGCTGCTCCAAACACATCAGTGGTCCCCGGTCTGAGCCTCAAACGGAGCTGGGCCCTCATGTCACCCACGTGACAACTCAAAAATGTTCACGTACAACTAGACTTCTTGGGCAACAGAGAAGGCCTGAAGTTTGAGACTTGCAGAGCCCTCACAGACAGCAAGTCCTGGCCCCCTGGTTTTAATGAGGGAGGACCCCAAAGCCCACAGGCAGATCCCAAGTCACCCAACCAGGCAATAGCAGGACGGGGGTCTCCAGGCTCCCAGCAAGTGTTCTGTCCATTTCATTCAACAAATACATATATTTTCTATTGTACTGTAAAATAGTTACTGTATCAAGTGCGTACTACATACTACATACTGCGTACTGCCTGTTTTTGGCACCCTGGGTACAACAGTGAGAATAAATTCCTGTTCTCATAGAGAGAGGCAAGAAGCTAACAAAAAGCATAAGTACCATATGTCAGTTGGAGGTAAGTGTTTTGGAGAATAAGTCAGGGCAGAAGTGAAAGGAGGCTGGGGCGCAGTTGCCTCTATTATAGGGATGGTCAGGGAAGGACAGGAGAAAGTGTGGGAGGGAGCCAGGTGGCTCTCTAAGGGAAAGATATCTCAAACCATGCAAAGGCCCTGAGGTTGGCGTGCACACGCTGGCCAACGTGCCTGGGAGGGAGGGCACAGGGACAGTGGGAGGAGACAGGACAGGGAGGAAGCCATCACCAGGGCTCCGGCTCTTACCTAGAGAGCCACGGGATATTCAGATCTGACGTGGAATTAAAGGAGCCCTGTGGTTGCTGCGCTGGGCAGGAAGCAGGGCAGAAGCTGGGACGCCTGTGCAATATTGCTTCAAACCCAACAGAAGAGAACACCATTCACAGCAGGAAAGGTCCCTGCTGAGAGCCCTGGGAGAGTCCTCTCAGCTTCCAGGCCCTCACTGACAGCATTCCCCTACGCGGGGCCCCCACTGAGCCGCTACCCCAGTCGAGGCCCAGGTGAGCTCTCGGCCTGAACCCAGACCCTCTTGCCAACGCCACCAGTCCAGGTGAGGAGGAGCAGAGACAAAGAGGAGATGCTCTACCAACCCTCCTGGAACCCAGAAGTCCTCGCTGCTGCTCCCTCTCTGGGGACAAGCCTGGCACCCATGAAGACATCCCCTCAGCCCAGAGGAAGTCCTGATTCTGAACGGACCAAATCCCACATTACAGGGTCACAGGGGCCAGCCTGAGCAAGCACCACTTCCTCCTGCTTCAGCTACGGCCCTGGCTGGAAGGACCTGGTGGAGCCGAGGGAGGCTGGAAAAGGCACTTTCACAAGACCCACATGGGCTGGCCCACGGAGCTGGGTCTGAAACTCAGCCCAGGGGCCATGCTGGGGGCTGGGGGAGCTCCCCCAGAACTTCTGCTTGCTCATTATTCCAGAACTTTTTATCTACCCTGAGTCAGAAAGGCAAGCTGAAAGGGAGAAGCTAATTTGTAGAAAGTCCTCATCTTGCTTCAAGGGGAAGCCCAAGGTTGCAGAAACAGGACCTGGCAGCTGAAAGGGTACCTGGGGGCCCGTGTCTTTGCGGCAGCCCAACCATGGCCCTTGGGAAGGGTTTTCTGGTGATGACAAGTAATAGCAGCAGCCAGCTCTAAACACCTATTACCAGTTAAAAGCTTACATGCCTAGATTCAGGTCATCCTCGTGACACCCTGAGGGGGTGGGTAGTGTCATAAATCCTGTTTTATAGATATGGAAACTGGGGTCTGAGAAGCAGAGCGACGCGCCGAAGTCACTCACTTAGTGCCTGGTGGAGCTAAGATCTGAACTCGCTCTGTGGGCTGCAGAGATGGTGTTCCTGACCACCTGGGTAACTGAGTAAGACCACAGAGAAGGATGGGCAGTGGAGGAGGGAGAGGTGGGACTCGGGCAGCGCGAGTGTGTGAGCATGCAAGGAAATCAGGGAGCAGGCGGCTCAAGCTGGAGATCAAGGGCACAGTGGAAAACTTGCAATACAAAGATGTGACCTGGTACGTCCCTTCCTCCATCCCTAAAATGGAGAACCTGTGTGGGCCAGTACCAGGTCACTGGGGACATGAAGAGGTCAAATGCCCACGGAGGCAAATATGACCTGTCACACGGAAATACTCTGAACTCTTGAAAAATAACAAGGCGCCGCAGCTGTTCCTGCTATGGAACCAGCCAGAAGGTGCTCTGGAGTCTTGGGAAGGGAAACAAAGCCAGAAGTCAGGAGGTGGGGGCAGGGGCCTGGGAGATGTCTGGGGGACCAGAAGAGGCGGAGGGAAGAGCAGAGAGCTCTGGAGAAACTGAGGAAGGTGCTGAAGGGGAAAGGGGAGGTCTGGGAGGCCCAAAGATAGGTGAGGGTCTAGGGTGAGAACCACTGAGGGGAAAGTGCGGGGGTCGGGTCTGAGAGTAGAGAGATGACCAGGGGACCCTGGAGGGAATAGGGAAGATGGCTGGGGAAACTGGAGGTGAGAGTATATAGCCAGAGGCCAAGGAAGACATTCAGAAGTTGTCTGGAAGGGATACAGAGATAAGATGCCTAGAGGGGTCAGAAAAAAGCTAGTGGCAAGAGACAGTCCAGAGGACAGGTGAGGAGCTGCAGAGGCCTGGGGCAGCTTCTGAGACAGCAGAAAGGATGGGCGTCCTGGAGGGACATGGGGGAGGGCGGTGTTCCTGGCCAGAAGCTGGCAAAGGCAGAGTGTCAGGGAAGGAGGGGGTACTAAGGGAGGGCCGGGACGAGGCGGCTGGCAGGCAGGACGGAGGGGACCAGCTTAGATAATGATCCACATGGGCACGGGGGAGATGCCGAGTCTGGGAGTGCTGGAGGGGACCAGGAGGGACAGATGGGGGATAAGCAAGGGGATGGGAGAGGCCTGAGGGCAGACTCTGAGAGGCACAGGGAAGATGACCGCCAAAGAGCGGCTGGGAAAGGAGGGTACCTGGCAGGTGCTGCAAAGGGTGGAGAATCGGGGAGGTGGAAGAAGACGGGGTGCCCGGCAGGCGACCAGAGGAGTTGGCGTGTCCATCAAAGCCTGGGGAAGGCGAGGTGAGCGGCAGGGGGCAACGGGCACCGGAGGGTAGGGGGCGCCTCGGGGGGCGGGGGCGGGGAGGGTAGTGGGGCGCCGCGGAACTCACTCGAAGACGAAGAAAAGGATGGTGGTGGTGAGGATGAGCAGCAGCGTGAGTGCGAAGACGCCGCCGTGGCCGGCCAGCATGAGGCGGCCGCCGCAGTAGAAGCGGTTGCGGCCCGGGAACACCTCCCACTTGCGCCGCGGGCGGCGGCCGAGGCTCCCGCTGCCGCTGCCGCTGCTGCTCCAGCGCGGCTTGGTGGCGGGCGGCGGGGGCCCGGGGCCCGGGCCGGGGGGCGCGGCGGGGCCGGGGCGGCGCGCCTCGGGGGAGGCGGGCGGCGGGGCGGCCCCGGGGCTGATCTGCTGGTACTCGCAGTCCTTCATGCAGCCGGCCGCGGACCTGGGCTCCGCGCCCCGCGGGCCGGCCGGGCCGCAAGGGGACCGGGACCGAGCGGAGGAGGTGGTAGCGGTGGCGGCGGCAGCGGCGGCGGCGCGCGCGCGGCGCTCGCTCGCAAGGGGCGGCCCCACGGGCCCCGCCCCGCCCCGCGCGGCCTCCCGCCGCAGCGCCCCCTCCGACCGGGCCCGGGATGGCGCTCCGGCCGCTCGGCGGCCGGGTCCTGACCCGCCGCAGGGCCCCGACCCCATCCCCCGCTGCCCGGATCGCTGCCGCAAGAGGACACGGCCGCGGAAGCGCGCTCCAGGACTCTCTGCTCTTTTGCGGTCTGACCATTTGTTGGGCGTCCCCTGGGTGCCGGGCACCGTGCCGAGCGCCGAGATTTGAGAGGTGATCTATTTCTGGCAATCTGGATTTCCAGGGCCAGGCTTCACCACCCATCTCTGAAGACTCACCGGACAGGCATCTCCGGGGCCGACAGGGGTGGGCTAGGGACATAATCTGCTTGGAAGGCCAGCGGCCTGTTAATTACTGTCGTGAACTTCAAAGTGCCCGAGGAGTCTGTACGGCACATCTCTGCCCGCTTCACCAGCTCTGCAATCTGGACCCAGACCCAGCTTTCCTATCACCTGATGGGGGGTGGATGCCACAGGGCCCCAGTGTTTTTCAAGAGTTCAGGGTGTATTCGTTTTCTAGAGCTGTGTAACAAATCACCACACATTTAGCGGCTTAAAACAACACATCTTGTATCTCACAGGTCCCAGGTCCGGGCCCAGGACAGCTTAGCTGAGTCCCTGCTCAGTCTCAGAAGGCTGCAGACAAGGTGTCAACAAGGCTGCCTGCTTGTGTGGGAGCTCAACTGGGGAAGAAGACACCTGCAGACCCACTCAGACTTTGTGGGCAGAACTTATTTCTGGTGACTGACTGAGGGCCTGGCTGTCACCTGGAGGCCTGTCTGAGGTTCCAGAGGCCACCTGCAGTCAGCGCCTTGACTCGTGGGCCTCCCCAACACGGCTGCTTACTTCCTCAGGCTCACAAGGAGAGTCTCTAGCTCCAGGCTGCTAACGCAGAGGTTTATATAACATAGCTTATCTTATATATGTAACCAGAGGGACAGCCCGACACCTTCACTGTGTTCTATAAGTGAGAAGCAAGTCACAGGTCCCACTTGAAGTTGAGAGAATCACACAAAGGCGTGAATACCAGGAGGCAATCACTGAGGCTCACCTCAGGGTCTGCCCACCACACTGGGATTACTGGGAAACCTAAGGAAAAGTATAGGGAAAAGAGAGAACTGCAGACTAGGATAAGAGAAAGGAAATCAGAATACACTATGCAGAGGTGGTAAATACAGCAACAGTGACCTTAAGGAACTGTAATTGTTACACAAGCCAAAAGCCACTGAACCATGCCCTTGATGCCAAAGATTCTGGATTTGATGAGCCTCCCCTCTTGCTCCTTGGTTGTGGAACAAAGTCACAAAGCTGGACTTACAGGTTCAAGGACAGATTCCTGTCCCACCTCAACTGGATCTTCTTGCAACCCTAATTCTGGCTTCTTGTTGCTTTATAGAAACCAAAACAATCCTGTTTGATTGTCAGCTACCCTCCTGTCTACCTCACATTTCTTTGTTTCTATCCTTTCCTCTCATCTTAAAGACACGGGCCTCATTCTGTCCATGGCCAACCCTCCATGAATGTCCTATCTCTCTTCCTGTTCACTGAGACCACAAATTCATGCTCAGTTCTCCTCTATCAATTAAAAAACAAAACTAAACTAAAAAACCAACCACAGAAATAGCTTTCTATGTTTAGCTACCTTCTTACTAGCTTCAGATTTATCTTTTTCCCTCGCATTTGTTGTTTTTCAGTAGCTCAGTCACGTCCAAATCTTTGCTACTCCATGGACTACAGCATGCCAGGCTTCCCTGTCCTTCACTATCTCCCAGTTTGCTCAAACTCATGTCCATTGAGCTGGTGATCCCATCCAACCATCTCATCCTCTGTTGCCCCTGTTTCCTCCTGCCCTCACTCTTTCCCAACATCAGGGTCTTTTCCAATGAGTCGGCTCTTTGCCTCAGGTGGCCTAAGTATTGGAGATTCCACTTCAGCATCAGCCTTTCCAGTGACTACTGAGGACTGATTTCCTTTAGGATTGACTGGTTTGATCTTGCAGTCTAAGGGACTCTCAAGAATCTTCTCCAGCACCACAGTTCCCAAAGCATCAATTCTTTGGTGCTCAGCTTTTTTTTATGATCCAGCTTTCACATCTGTACATGACTAGTGGAAAAACCGTAGCTTTGACTCTATGGACCTTTGTCGGCAAGGTGATGTTTCTGCTTTTTAACATGATGTCTAGGTTTGTCATAGTTTTTCTTCCAGGGAGCAATTTTCTCATAGCTTTCTTCTTTTAATTTCATGGCTGCAGTCACTGTCCCCAGTGATTTTGGAGCCCGAGAAAATAAAATTTGCTATGAAGTGATGGGACCAGATACCATTATCTTAGTCTTTTGAATGTTGAGTTTTAAGCCAGCTTTTTCACTCTCCTCTTTTACCCTCATCAAGAGGCTCTTCAGTTCCTCGTTGCTTTCTGCCATTCTTGTCTCTCGTTATTTACTCTTATTAAATAAGAGTAGCTGTTACTTCTTTAGTAAGAGTAGCTACTACTTCCTTGTCACTTAATAATTTCTTAGCTTTTTGCAGCTTGGCTTCTATGTTACTCGCCCAAGAATTCTATCTTCAGTGGGTCACTGTGACCCACTTGAAAGTGAAGTCACTCAGTCATGTCCAGCTCTTTGTGACCCCATGGACTCTAGCCTACCAGGCTCCTCTATCCATGGGCTTTTCCAGGCAAGAATACTGGAGTGACCCATTTCATATGGTATAAACTAAGCGTTCTCATCAATACCCACAGTTCCCAGCCTCTGTTACAGAGAGATACTGAATCCTGGCTAACGGAATGTGAGTGGAAGTGACAGTTGTTTAGTCACTTAGTCGTGCCCAACTCTTTTGCAATCCCTGGACTGTAACCCACCAGGCTCCTCTGTCCATGGGATTCCCCAGATGAGAATACTGGAGTGGGTTGCCATTTCCTTCTCTAGAGGGTCTTCCCAACCCAGGGATCAAACCTGTGTCTCCTGCATTGACAGGCGGATTCTTTACCACTGAACCACCAGGGAAGCCAGAAGTGATAGGCTGTCCCCTAAAACTTGCAAGTACTGATCACTGCTCTTCTTCCCATCTGCTGGCAGAATGGAGAAGACACTGAGAACCTAGAAGAGTGTCAAACCAGATGTGTCCATTCCAAGTTTCAAGGTCCCATTCCTTCTCAGTCACAGGAAAGGCTTAGTAAGATACTGAATTCAACTGATAACATTCAACAACATGCACTATATTTTTGTTCTATTTGTAGCAAATAAGTCTGGTGACTACAAGAAATAAGAGGTCTTTTACGGGCTATCATGGAAGCTCTGTGACTCTCTGACCATGATTTGAGCTGAGAGTTTAAAGGCCCTAGCTTGTCATTTTCTTTCTGCAAGGACTCTGATGCTCTCAGAATTCCTTCTGTGGTCATCATCACTACACTCCCTGTAGTAATCATCACTGCCATAACCGTCAAGTACAACCACCACTTGGGCCCCCAAGGCACTTGCTTTAGTTAGCACTCATCACAAATAACCACAGGTGATAATTTGATTAATCATGTTGCCACAGCATGCCATGAATTAGCAGTACCACATTTCTCATTGGCAAGGAGCTCAATACATTCAAACCCATGACACAACCAAAACAGTTCCCTAACCCCATCTTTTGATTCCCTGGGACCCCTCCTAGTACCAATTTCTGTATCCCTCAGGGTCCTGCCAATGAGAAAGAAACCACACAAGTCACTGGAGAAAATGTAATAAACAGAATGGTTATTCTAGCTATAACATTGTTATTAGTTATCTGAAAGGGTGAAAAGAAAACAGATACTATGGAGGCAGCAACAGCAGGAAGCCTCTAAACTCCTAGGACTAGGAGAACAAAAGAGTCTGGAATTACTAAAACTTGGAAACTTAGAAGAGGGGTCCTACAGAGCTGAAACTCAGACCTCTAAGTCTAGTTTTGGTGGCTGGTACCTCTGAACTTGGAGGAGGGGCCAACACTTCTGAGAAAAAGGTGCTACACAGATGGTGCTGGTGTCTCTGATTGGTAAGCCATGAAGCCGGGTCTGCAATTTTTGGAAAAAACTGATTCAGCTGCTGCTACAGGATGGCACTGCTGCTGCTGGGATGAAGGAGCATAGTTAGGATGATCTCACAGGAACAGGAAGCAAACTGAAGAAAACAGTCCTTTCTTCCTCCTCTGACCTCACTATCTCCCTCTAGTGGCCCTTATTGGCAGAGTCAAACATAGAGCCCTCCGACAGTAGCAATGTGATTTGCAAAGTCTCAGCTCCAGCATCTCATAGTAGAAAGAAGGGTGAATTTGGGGCTGAAACAATAACTTAATAACTAGCACAGGTATCTTTATAAAGTATTAAAATAAAGAGGTGAAATTAGGTGAGAATTAGTGATTTTTCAAGCAGTTCAGTTCAGTCACTCAGTCGTGTCCGACTCTTTGCAACCCCATGAATAACAGCACGCCAGGCCTCCCTGTCCATCACCAACCCCCGGAGTCCACCCAAACCCACGTCCATCGAGTCGGTGATGCCATCCAGCCATCTCATCCTCTGTTGTCCCCTTCTCCTCCTGCCCCCAATCCTTCCCAGCATTAGGGTCTTTTCCAATGAGTCAACTCTTCGCATGAGGTGGCCAAAGTATTGGAGTTTCAGCTTCGACATCAGTCCTTCCAATGAACACTCAGGACTGGTCTCCTTTAGGATGGACTGGTTGGATCTCCTTGCAGTCCAAGGGACTCTCAAGAGTCTTCTCCAACACCACAGTTCAAAAGCATCAATTCTTCGGTGCTCAGCTTTCTTCACCGTCCAACTCTCATGACTACTGGAA